TTATTATTCCGGAACTAAAAACATGACTGGATACTCCTGACTAAATATTTAATTCCAGACTCATTAATTTAACGAATCAGAATTAAATCTGGAAACTTATCCGGTTTACTGAAATAATTAAACCGAATAACATATCGACTAATAGTCGAACATAGGATATGACTGACTGATCAATCTGAACTTGAACATGAACATGATTATTTATTAATAAAGGCTAGCTTAAAACTGAAAGCTAGTATTTCCTTTATTAATAAAATACGGGGCGTTACAATCCACCCCCCTTAAAATATTTCCGTCCTCGGAAATAGTAAAACTGGAATATACAAGCTTAACTTAAATCTTATACTTACTGATTGCATGACTTGAGAATCCAGTAATTTAATACTGAATAAGAAACTTGATCTGAACTGAAGATACATCAATTCACAATTAAGTGAATTGTAGGATACTGCTGACTGAGAATGGACACTTTTCTGAAAGAAAGTGTTCCTACTGATAAGACATGATCTCAAAACGAAACTCTGAAATGTATTGGTCATCATCTCCTGGCTGTTGGCGGATCTCCAATTGGAATGCTGGTGGTGAAGACTCCTGTCGTTGGTACACATGGAAGATTCCAGAGATTCATATATGCACAAATGATAATAACTAGCTATATTGGTCATTACCTTTCATGAATGTCTGCTCGACAACGCGGCACATCGTTCGCGGCACATTGTATTGCGGCACACCTGCTCCTCATCAAGTGAGTGCGGCACGCCTGCATACAGCACCTGGCGAACATTGCACCTGCGTCGTTGACGTAATCTGATAGTATCTATACCTCAAGCTAGTAACCTCAATGTACTTTTTAATACTAACTCTCTGTAATCTCCTAGTGTATTGTGACGCAAGCATGGCATCTTTGAATGGAAAGCGTCGGGTTGTCGTCATGGCATGATCTTTTGCTATCGATTGGCCCTTCTTCGTTGCGACGTATGTCAACCTGTGGTACCTGCAACTGTTTACTCCCTCCGAGGTTAAACTTAACCTCAAGAAGAAGTCTATCATGAATGAATGTCTCCCCCGATTTCTCAGATTCTTCAGAATTTGAGACTCGAGGCGCTGACATATTGAAAATGATAAGTAAGTCTTGTCTTATTAGACAGACTATTCTTGATCTTAACATGACTGGTTTGAACATTCATATAATTGAATAACCATGACTTGACTCTTACATGACTGAATCATCTTTGCCTGAACGCTGAAAGCTATCCCGAGACGACTAAAATAGTTGCTTCGGAATTGAGGACGTGATATTTACTGACTTACTTGACTTGATAAGGTACGACTTCAAGTTTCCAGGTAAATTTGGACTAATGGTCTATATATCTGACCGTCACATTGAACCCGGCTGAACAACTATTATACGTCGACCTTACATCATGAACATAAACTGTAAATCATGAACATGAATTTATAACTCTGTACTGTATAGGGCTACTCCAGTATCAACTGGTCCCGCAAGTACAAAGTAATTAGATGATCTTGATCTCTGAAAATCATAACTTGAAATATCATGACTGATAAAATACCTGACATGACTGACTTGAAAGGTTGTTATTACATGAAATCATATTGCTCCGGTTTCTGCTTCAAGCCTCCATGGTATACCCGGCTGAATGGCTATTATTTCAAGCCTTTACGGTACCCCGGACTATTGACTCTTATACACTGGAAACCGTTACCTTAACAATGACTT